CAGGCTTGAGCTCAAAATCGTTTCTCCGGAAAGCAGGAGGGCGGATTGCAGCTCTGTTGGCATAAAACTGGTCAGGTCTGTTGTAATCTTCTAGAGTCCGCTGCACAAATGCCCAGCAACGTTTACAGCTTCATGTGGTGCTTGCTGAACCACCCGTTCAGCTATGACATTCTCATTCTGATCTAGTCTCTGCCCCTCTTCATTCCTCCTGTTTCCATCTTTGTCGACCAAGTGACCCTCTGCATCTTCGACCAAGACAAGTGGAGCAACCATTGTAGACTGTTTTTTAGCTTTCCTGATGGTCTTTTCCAACTTAGATAGTTCGTCAATGCCCAAAATCACAAGCTCCTTCTCTTTGTTGCTTCTGGTACTGCGATCAGGCATACACCTGAAACCAGCACAAAAAAAAGTAGCAAAAGTTAGTAAACAAATAAAAACTTAGTCAAAATCCTAATACTAAAAATTCATAGGCATCTATTACTCCCCGGTAACAGTGCAAAAACTTGATAGGGTCTAAGTTTTACCCACTTTTTGTATACTGCAAGTGCACAGCAATGCAATTGTAGCACAAGGGGCTATCGAATCCCAATGAAGTAAGTAAACTACACTATAGAGTTCAGGTTCGGATTAAGCTAAGCAGTGAGTAATGTATGTAATGCGAAATAGCAAAATATATGAAAGCAATTGATTTGTTGATTGATCTAAGGTTCAGAAAGCTAAAGGTGTTAAGTCAGGACAATTCGCAGGTTGAATCCGAGAATGTAGAATGCATGCAATCAGGAATGAATTAAAACCATCTAGAACTTGAAACACATAGATATAACTAATCAATTCTCACTGCAGAAGTTATCTATGCCTAAATCACTGAATTTTAAATCTCTTTGCAAATTCTAACAATCTAAACATGCAGTAATGATCAGGTTCAATTGTTCACAAAACACCTAACTCAAATCTCTTTGCAAATAGGCGTTTTGCTCATCTATACTAGTTCAGGTGATTAACAATGTTCTCACATCTATTAAACAACCTAGGGTTTCAAAATCTAGATGATCAACTCTAGAAATCGATGTGAATGCAAGTATAGATGAAGAACCAATGGATTTCCTAACAGTTTAGCAATTCTACAAACTCTTCATCAACCTTTGAAAACCCCTAGCTTAACTAACAAACTACTCAGACATGGTGAATTGAGAAAACATCATGAATAGAATAGATTGAATAAAAGAAATAAGAAATAAAGATAATGGAGTTCGAAATCTGCTCTGAAGGAGTCTGATTTGTCTCTCCAAAAGCTCTCCTGCAAATATCTCTCAAAAGCTCTCTAGAAAATAAGATCTAAGATAAAAGCCAACAATGGCTGAAAAACCTAGTATACAGGCTAAAACACGAGCTGGGGTCTTCTTGCAAAATGGTGGAACTTCTGGGCCAAAAGTGCAATATCTTCTCCATCTTTTAATAAGACTTCGCGATTCTCTTCAGATGTGGGTGACGAGCGTCACCCATAAGTGGTGACGATCGTCATCAATGCAGGACAACGACTTATGATTTGCTTTCTTAGGGGTTGATTCTTGCAATGATCCAAAAAGCTCCAGAATCTCCAATTATGCTCCCATCATACTATAACCTGCAAAGACTCTACTAGGACTCTAAATAGACCAAAAAGACTCAATAAAAAGGACCTATACCATGGCTAAAAACCATAAAAGGCATGATATATCACTCTTCTAGCAATCTGAGGCACTGACCTATGTAACCTATGAACTGGAACTTCATCTTCTCTGAACTGAGCTTGATAAGCAGGTCCATGATGGTTTGGAGTAGCCATTGTCCCTGAGGAAACAGAGCAAGAAGGTAAAGTAATTAGTAATATAATAGGTGGTTAAGTCTAAGCAAGAACCTAAACTCAATAATCTAAGCAATCCTAGAATGGCAATGGCGTCAAATTGAATAAGGACTTTTACATGTCTTAACTTAATCCCTCTCTAATCAGATGTAGTATAGAAGAGATTTTATCAATCCATCTATGAGCTAGAATAAAAGAGATGCAAGGAACTCACTAAGCTTAACCAATATGATAAAATAAGGATTATCTAAAAACCTAAGTGATTAAAGATGAAATGCACAAGTGAAATGCAATCCTATCAAGACTAAAACAAGTAATGTAATGCAAAGAAACAAAATGCAACAGAAATTAACAAGATAATGATCCAAATGCAACAGAACTAAGATAAGCAAGCAAATGAAGTGCAAGAACCAAAGTGAAAGCTAAATGCAACAACTTGAGATACAAGACAGGTAGTGGAACAAAAGCAAGGCAACTAAAAACAGAAGAAAACAGAACACAAGATGATTAAATGCAAAGAACAATTAGGCACAGGTTCAAAGCTAGAGCAATGGTGACATGAGGATTACTTAGTATCAAACCTATGGTAGTCAAGACCAATAACAAGAAAATAACATGATCAAGCCACTAAATCAATCAATATGCAAACATAGCCGAGATGTCTACGTTAAGAACATGTCAGACCCAGTTGTGCTGGCGTATATGTGCAAAACCACATGAAAACACAAGACTCTTAAAAACCAAACAAACAACCTAAACGCAATATAATCATCTAGGCGACTGTTCCTAGCAAAGTTCTTTCAAGCATTTAAACAAACACTTTTGATGCAGCAAATACCTAAGATCAGTTTCACCCTAAAAGAGTTACTAAGCACTAAGATCAATTAAGCTAAGTGATTCAAGTAAGAATTAAACCAAAACTCTCTAAGTTATCAACTAATCATTTCCAAATCTGCTCTAACCTCAAACTATATGAAACTACTGACAACACATCATGAAATCAACAGAAACAAGCAAAGATGACAAATCAAACATGATCAAATAAGAACTAGAAGGAAAATGACAAAGGAAGTGCAAAACTTTATTAAAAAGATGATCTTGATCAAAATCCCAGAAAAATCTCTTTGTGGTTTCCCGCAAGGTCGAAAATAGGATAAAGAAGAGGATAAAAAGATAAGCCAAAAGCTTAAATGGGCTTAAAGATAAGGTTTGGAAAAAAGTAGAAAAAGTTAGTGAACTCTCGACGCTGACGCATTGAGGTGTACAGACGGATGTTCTGCTCGATGTGCTTCCCAGATGCAGAATTCTCTTAGCTGCAGCTCGGTCACTTTTGCAATTCCTCGGTGGTAAAAGATTATCATCAACTTATTATGTTTCAAGTAGTAACAATAACTATTAGTGAATACACTAACCAAATTTTTTGTCCTATTTTTCAGTAGGTGTTTGGGTTGCAACAACAGCATATAATTATATTCAAATTTTTATTGATTCCCCTTTTACATAAGCCAATGAGTTTAGAAGTTTACTTGCTGATAATATAGCATAAACACGTTTCTGTACATAATATATATTTTAATATATTTTATATTATCTACAATAATTTTTATTTGATCTCTTTGTTACATAGTTTTATTTAAACATCAATGATTTGACTTTATATAAAATATAATTTTCAATAATTTTCGTAAAATGGTTAATTTGATTACTTTATAAAAATATTAAAATATATTCTCTAGATTGGCTAGTGAAACCATAATATATTGTCGCCGTGGAGGGGTATATTGATCTAATTATCTTGCACGTATTCAAAATATAAAACAACTACTTCATAAGACATTCTTGCTTTCAGCTACAACCTAAAAATGTCACTTTAGTTTTTCTTAATTTGAATAGTATTTAAATTATCATAACCAATATGTATTTTTATTATCGGTAAATAGTTTTGTTAATAGACCGAATGCTTATGCTCGTGGTATAATATTAATATTAATATCCGTTTTATGGTTTTAATAAAAACCTATTTATTATTAATAATAGTAAATTTTATTATTTGTATTAGAAAATAATATCAAACTTCTCTAAATTATTTATTTTATAATATTATTAAATTTGATTTATCATAAAATATAATTGGAGATTTGCCATATCTTAAAATATTGATACATCTGAATTATATGATGTAGAACGAATATTTTGTAGTTATTATCTTTAAAATATTAATCATATTTATGAAACCCTAATTTATATACACTATCAATACGCCTTTTGGTTTGTCTATTTGACATGTATTCAAAAACATAACCTACTATGGTCTCACGGCATGATTCTCTCTCGAGGTTTCGTAATTCGCAGGATTACGTCTTCTGACTATGGTAATTTCTGTTTTTATGATTGTGTATATACAACTTTCTTTATGATTACTTGATTTTAAGAATTTGGTTCTTACAAGTTCGTACTATTATCTAAACATAATTAATATTACTTTTTGTAATCAAGAATTGTTGCTGGAGCTCGGTTCTCTGATGAGTTAATTTTCCAAAACAACCGGTCTTGTGGCTTGATTCGTCGTCGTTTGGCTGGAATGATTTTATTGGTGGTCGCGTGTCTCCATCGGGTCCATTGAAGATCTGTCAATTTGTATCTTCAATATCTTCTTTATGTAAACTCCTTTTTAGCTGATTCTTCTTCGTGGTGCACTCTGGATGAGTTGAGTATGCTATCCAAGTGTTTTTTGGGTTTGAATGTTTGATATCAACCTCCATTTGAGCTGAACTTCACTCGCATGTCTCCTTAGCTCTCCTCAGCTTCATGTTCTCCACTTCATGACTCCTGGATCCGTGCTCCTTAACTGATGAGGACTTGAGGTCCGTATCAATTCCCTTTTTGGATATAGCACTGGACAGCGGTCTATGTCATGACAAAGGCTGTGGCATTCACGACAGCACCCTTGGAGTCTCTCATATTGTAGAATCACCATTGTCTCCATACTTCCCTAGACCTCTACCATTGTCTCAAAAATTATTGGTTTGAAAGCATCTAGCGTCAAGCGTACTCTGCCTCCATCCAAATTTATTGCATGAACATTTCTGATAGCCTCTCCAATACTGTGAAAACTAGTTTCAGCCCAGAAATGCAGGGGAATCCACATTATGCGCACCTAGAAAGTTAAAATTGATAGATAATTCGGCTCTATTAACGGCTCCCATCGAACTAACACCACCATCCAACCATCAAAATGGTACGGCTCCATCTGCAGTACAGAAATGATGTCCTCCTCTTCATCAAAGTCAAACTGGAAACGCCACATACCGAGATCTGCTCCGGTGACACGGTCCTCAACCTTCCATATCCTCGGGAACATGATCAGTAGAGCATTCATGTCCTGCTTCAATGGGTTCACACACTTCCCAATAAGGGTCTGAGAGTAACCACTTATCAACTTCGTGTTGTCAAAGCGTGGAACCGTGATCTTGAGCATCGGTTGCAATGTTGCTTTGCCTTTGTTACTTCCATTGGCTGACCCAAGATGACCTGATTGAGACATGTTTTTTTCCCAAAAAGCCAAGAGTATTAGACTTTTGAGAAGGAAAAAGAAATGTTGGACGAGTAATGTGTACAGCAAAAAGTATTAGGGACCATCTTATACAAACCAACATCCCAACATTCCCTAATTATCTCCCGTAAAGTACTCCCAAGAATCTAGACTAATGCCCCAAATCATTCCATAAATAGTTGAGTGAGATCAGAACAATACCTGTAGCCATTGCCAAAAATGTCTCCCCTGGTTCCTTAACAGATCGTGAAGTATCTGATTACCAAAATCAAGTGATTCTCCCATGTTGCAATCCATATTAAACCTCCATGATACTCGCCCATCACCATTTATCCCAAGAGATCCCCGATTAAATGTATATTTCCAAGTAAATATTTGATGTAGCCAAATCTTGAGGTAAAGAGCCCATACCTTTGATTGATAAGTCCGCTTAAAATAACCTCTCCGCTTTGTGAATTTTAGAACCAGAAGTAGATTTCTAGGTCTCCACTGTTTCCTCAAATATGTTACCAGTTCCTTGTTACCCAGAATTACTTCCTTCGTATTGTTCCATGATTCCTCCAAACCGAAACTCCATATCTGGCAGGATCGTACCTTGCAGGCCCGGAGCAACCATCTCCCTCTGCTCTTGTCACCCCCCCCCCCCCCCCGTACAAATTGAAACATGCTAGAAACCCCAGTGGCCCCTGAATCCAAGCCGCCGCTTTGTGACGATAACCTGGACCCCCCACTCCGCCCTCGCCTCCGCTAGCAGATCCCCATCCACAAGCTTCGTACTTAACGAGTGATAAGCAGTTGTTTCACTACTAAGAAAATCCCAACATACTCATGTTCTTGCAGCATGTAAGGTATCAATCCATCTGGGTTCTTAAAGCACCAAGAATACAGCAAATCAACTAAGTCAAGCAAGATTCAAAATGGCAGTTGTGAAAAAAACTAACAAGTCTTAAGAATGAACTAAGTAAAACAGGAAATTCAAATAGATAAAACAATGATCAAAGATGGGGGTTATTGAAGAGGGGATTAGAACCTAACTAGTGATGCTTCAAAACCATTCAAGCAATGCTATATTCTAGGCATAGGATTAACAACTATAACTAGCTCAATTTTTTGACACTAATCACTTTGCTAAACACACATTCAAGATAAATCCCTTTACTTAAACACATGACCAGCAAGCATTCAGAACAGAACTCCAATCCTATAAAGCCAAAATGCACCTTAGACATCTAATTCCTTAGGCTAAGCATATAAATCCTCTAAGAGACTCTAAGCAGCATTTCATCAAACACTTACCAGGCGCCAGAGAAAGCCAAGATACTAAACAAGCCTGGCCAAGACTAATCTAGTGTTAAGCACATCTAATAGTGAGAAGAAAATCATAATAAGCACAAGACATCACTAATCTAGTCCTAAAACCCCTCTAATCCATCACATCGCAAACCCTAGATAAGACTACTCACCAGCCATAGTCAAAACCACAAATTCTAAGGAGAAACTATGGTTAAGCATGATTCGGGAGCAGATTAAACAAGAATAGATCAAAGGCAAATACAGAAATTCACTAAATCAAGCAAGTTCTTACAAAGCAAAGCTGAGAAAGAAAAGTTTTTAAGTGCAAGAACAGAAAGAAAATAACAAGATCCAACTTGCCTAACCATTTTAGGACTTTAGTATTTATAGGGAAACAATAAAACCCCTAGTAAACCAAGATTAAACCAAAAGTAAGCTAACTCGGATGGACCATATGGACATGGAATATCGATACACATGTCGATATCTTCTCCTCTTCTGGATTGTATCGATGCCTCTTGGTCGATATGCATGTCGATAAAGAAGGCTTCTGAGTTGTATCGGTTTGGCTCTCCAAGGTGTGAAGTCGATACAATCGACCTTTAGTTAAGGCTCATCGATCAAGCAAGTTGATATGGGACCTCGGAATTGTCCTGTCATGTGCATCAGTCTTGGGACATCGATACATTGATCGATATGGACTCCATTCTGCTGCATCGAGGTGTCTAAGTCGATATGCTTCCTTCACACTTTGCCTCTTCTGTATCGGTGTTGTAGTGGTCGATACTCCCATCAATATGCTATGTATCGATCACATGATGTCGATATCATCATCGATATTGGTTCATCCGTCTTTGTCTCTTGCCTTGCTCCATTCCCAGCTCACACTCATTGCTCCACATGACCTCCACACTCCTTCGAGTACCTAAATAAAACTCCAAATGCATGCAAAATGCAACGCAGCTTCTAAAACTACACTAACTCCTAAATGTATGCAAATAGGACAAGAAGAAGCAAAATATGCATGTTTAGAGACTAAAACTAGTGATGAATGCAAGCTAAAATGGTATAAATAATGGAGATATCAATACCCCTACACTTGCCTTTTGCTTGTCCTCAAGCAAACAAACTAAGACAAGGAGAGAGTGAGGTTTGAAGGTGGACACTCAAATCCAAAAATGCTAAGGTAAAGAGATGGAATCAAAGGTTAAGTGTCTAGTTTTGGGATGCTAACATAATCAGCTGTACTTTAAAGAACTTAGCCATGCTCATCATGCTTTAAAATGATCTCAAATCTCAACCTAGACAAATGCTCAAATCATTCAACTCTAAACATTCAATTAAACTCAAAACCGTGAATCATGTTTACACAAATCAAGTGAAGACATTTGGTTCAAAGGGTAAGGTTATGAGATTAAAATGACCTCATTTAAGCATAGGGTTCACCAACACAAGGGATCACTCAATGGAAATGATTCTATTCTAGGCAAAATGCTAAAGGTAAAAGCACACTTATGCATGCAAATCAAAGCTCCCTTCTACCTTTTTACCCAAATATGAATTCTAAACACTTCTAAACCCTATAGCGGATCCCTAAGTCTACCCTTCTCCTAAACTCTACCCTTTCTCCTTCTTCATGGCTGGGGAAACTTCTTTTTTTTGCTTGTGTGGCTGCTTCTTTTGGTTGGGCTTGCTCATTTTTGTTGAATTGGCATCATTCTTCACCTTTGGTGGATTGCCTTGGGTCTGATTTTCTTCTTTTAATTGACCTTTTCAAAGCTTTTGTTGTTGGCGCTTTCCTTCATTGAACACTTAGAGCTTTTTCTTCCCTTTACTTAACCACATCTTAACCTTATTTCTCCACACTACCATACCATACTTTTCCCTCTTCTTTGAAAGCATAAAAACATGAAGTTCAAACCACCTAACTCTACCCTTTTATCCCAGAACTCCAAACCTAGAATCAAGCTCAAGATGCAAGCTGATATCTACAAGAGAGCTTATCATTGTCAGCCTTATTCCTAACATTTTTTTCCTAGATAAAATTCGAAAATAATATGCAAAGGCCTCACAACTCTCAAGATAGTGTTTAAGCTCAAAAGGAGGTTTGGTTAAGGGAGTAGACAAGCTATTTGGATCAACAAGAGTGGTAAGAAGGGAAAAGATGATCCAAATATGTATATGGTAGCCATGAATTCACTTTTCAATGCACAAACATGATAATTAAAGATTCAAATTAAAGTTCAAGTTGATAGAGTTGGTTTTCAAAGAGCAAATGCTTTCAGTATGAGATGAGAAGATCAATTTTAACAATCCAAGCATGGTTTAGTCTTAACTTCTAGCTTTCTCATGCTGCATCAAACAACTAACCACTTAAGAACTGAAATCATCTCTAAACACTAAGCATTTTACAAGGAGTTGTCATCATTATGCCCTATGCAAATGCAATGCAACCTAAATGAAAAATACTAGACTTAATCATAAACAAATGAATGCAACTACATGCTTTTCTTTTTGGTTTGCAAAAGATGCAAATTTTTCAGATTTTTCGATTTTTTGTGTTTTTCTATGCCTTAGATGTATGCATGATATGCATGTAACTCAAGATGAAATAAAATGAAAAACTGAGAAAAGAATAAACAAAGTCAAACCCCAAATCCCTCCTCCACACTTAAATTACACAATCCCTTGTGTAATAAAAGAGTAGAAGAGAGAAGCAACAAAAATATATTACAAGAACTAAAAATATGCAATGGTATATACAATGGAGGAGTTTTTGGTACCTTAGAAGGTTGTATAGATGGTGTAAGAAGCTCCTGAAAGGTCTTCCAAGTCAATGTTGTGGCTCCTCATTGGCCTCTCTCTCCTTGGGTGTCTCCTCCTCCTTGCCGCTTCTTGACAAGATGCTCTTGGTGGTACCCAGGCTCTTACTTCCTCATAACCAGCAAAGGAGCGCCTTCTACTAGGCAATGGTATATACAATGGAGGAGTTTTTGGTACCTTAGAAGGTTGTATAGATGGTGTAAGAAGCTCCTGAAAGGTCTTCCAAGTCAATGTTGTGGCTCCTCATTGGCCTCTCTCTCCTTGGGTGTCTCCTCCTCCTTGCCGCTTCTTGACAAGATGCTCTTGGTGGTACCCAGGCTCTTACTTCCTCATAACCAGCAAAGGAGCGCCTTCTACTAGGAGCTCTAGGCACTCCTTGGCTTTCATCTTGTTGCTCTTCTTGAGGAGCAGAAGTAGAGGCGCTGCTGGACTTCCTCTTTAAGTCCTTGATTTGAGCTTTCATGCTCTTCATACCCTTCACCAACTTCCTGATGGTTTTGTCTTGCCATTTGTTCCATCTTTGCAAGAGGTTGATGTGCTCATGGACTTTCTTCAGAGGTCCTTCTTGGTGGGAGACATCATGGGGCTGGAAGTGGTACTCCTCATTGTTGTGGCTTGGAGCATCTGAATCTTCTTCTTGCTGAAGTCCTTCTTCCATTTGTCCTCCTTCAAAGACCACAAGGGGATAGTTGCCTTGAAGAAGAGTGATGGTAGCGCCTTGGTAAGTGTGAGATGATGAAGCTCTAGCTTGGTGGAGAAGGTGCTGTGGAATTTGAAAGGCAAAGCTGTTGGGGTTGGAGAAGGATGTGAGATGCACATCAGGGAGTAGAATCTTTGCAGCAGATCCATCTTCTTGGATGAAGTTGTAGATGTAC